GCTTCTGGTCATACCCGTTGAGACTGTAACGGACTGTGCAGTCATCCACCACTGAGGGGCTGGACACCAAGACGAGGTCGAGGTTTGAGGGGCTTCCCTTGGGACGGAGGTATACGTAGGAGAATCACAGAGCGGGACAAGGCCCGTAGTCTCGATGACGTCCAGCAGGAGATCTGCCTTGGACTCAAGTGGACGGGGGGTGAGCGGGTCGCTTCAGTCAACGTGAGAATTTAAGTCCCCAAGTAGATAAATATTGTCGTAAGAAGCTCTTTGGGCATGCATCGATGCACTACAAGGAGCTACGTAGGTACTCGTACGATTCCGCCCGGTGTTCGGGAGGGCAGCAGACAAAGGATAGGAGGAATTGGTTCTTACCATTCTTGAGCTCAACAAACATGGCTTCCAGAATGTCGTGCTCAAAGTCCCTACGCCAATGGCATGCAAATCGGGATGGTATGACCAGTGCGGTGTTGCAGCACTGCACTTGATCAGTTCTGAAGTTACAAGTCAAGGGAACTCGATTAAGGTATGTCGAAGCACTTGTGTTTATGGTGCATTCATTATCTGCGTCTTCACAAAGTGTTTTTAGTTTGAGTGCGTTCTCGAGCTTGCAAAGCACGCGCCATGCTCTATTCTTCTTGGCACCATGGTTGCCGATTTTGTTAAGGAGCACAGAGACCTGATATTCAATCGTATCGGTTGAAACACCGATTCTACGGATGGCTCATATTTTGTGTTTTGCAGACCCTGACAGTGTCTACTTGACCATAATAGACATTTATTCCATCGTACACTACACTTTCGCGTTACTAGCGAGAGCTCGTGCCGTCTCTTTGAAGCATAGATTGAGCACGCGCACGCTGGGTCTCAATCTTTGCGAATGTCTACTAAAGATATATTGCGCTGGTCTGCTGTCAACAGATCCCATATCTGTGAACCGTTGCAGCACTTGGGCAGACTATTTGTTATATTATTATGCGTGTGGTATGTCTCGTACGTTTGCCGAGCGATCGGGTATTTTACGCTGCCACTGGTACTCATGATCTAAATTCCTCGCGAACAGGCAAGATGCTGTCGGTGCCCAACAAACGGTGCATGAACCACAGCCGGTTCGGACGTAAAACGTCCCAGTGTCCAGGTCATCAACGCAAGTGCACTTTTCGGAATTCTGCTTTAGCGTGGATTTCACCGCACAGGAACTTCTACTTCACTCATCTTTGAGTGTGTTCTTAATTCACGAGGCAATAAATCTACGTTTAACTTGAGCTGCACAATTTTTTTTCTGATATTTCAGTACACTAGGCATCTACTAGACTTGCGCGACGCTTGATTCTTCAGCTCTGCTCAAGCTGTCGAGTGCAAATTTGGGTCGAAGGGGACTAACAGCAAGGGTGCAAACTTTTGTGGCTGGGGACCTAATGTTAATGATTAACCTTTAGTCCCAGGGATCTAAATACAGGGGTGCAACATTTAGTCCCAGGGATCTAAATACAGGGGTGCAACATTTAGTCCCAGGGGTCGAAATAGAAGGGAGCAACATTTAGTCCCAGAGGGCTAATTGCAACGGTGCAAAGCTTAGTCCTGAGGTCCCAATTTAAAAGAAAAAAAAAATAACGGTAGGGGAGCAAAGGTTGCTCCCGTCCTGGTTAGTCACCCGGGGGACTAATGGAACTCTAGGAGCATTTAGTCTCCTGAAGGAATAAATCGCGCTTTTTGTTTCTCGGAATGTATGTCGCCAATGAAGGGGCATAATTGTCTAGAGGGAATAGGAAAATAAAGAGACAATAATTAACGATCCTTTAAGGTGATTTAGCATGTGTGTAGAAAATTCGTCGAGGTTCAGGGGGCGATATGCCGTATCCTCCTCGCCAATCCAACCAGGACCAAGCGCGCTCCCCGGAACCGTCCCGAATTCGTACAGCCAAGGAACCACCGAGGCCCCACCGCACATGGCCTGACCAGAGAAACGGAAGCGCACCACCCATACCTCCACCTATGTCCTCAATTCTTCGTTTCAGCTGAAGCCCTATGCACGACTTATGCAAGGTGTATGCATGACGTCGTTTGTGGATCTCTGGCCCGCCCTAAGCGGATAACACGCCAAAGCTCCTCGAGAGTCGCCGCATCGTCAGACACGCCCGTCTTGCCGGCTCCGCCTGATACAGTCGTGCTCGTTGTGAAACACTGCTAGACACTTTGGCGGCGATGCTGATGCAAGCTAAAGACGATTGCAAGCAGGGCACCTGGACACCGCCATCTCTCTACTTGAACGAGAAAGCATTCGCCATCGCGAGCCGGGTAAAGGCGCCTTCAAGCGCATGCCGCACGTGCTTGCACGGGGTGGGCACCAGCCGGACCGCCATGGTTGCAATAGACCCTTTCCGGAATTCAGTCTGGCCACTTTGAGCACTATCATCATCTGAAAAATGGCATATGTGCTGTACTAATGGCGGCCTTCTGTTTACTCATGAAGAAAGAAGTTGAAGATGCTGCTAAGCAGATGGTTCGAGGCCTATGCATTTTACAGGTTAGCGCGACGTGAAGCAGGAATTTGATCCGAGAGCTGCGTAAGCGTTCATTTCTAACTCGGGCCCAGTCGAGTTTTTAGTAGCGCACACTCGGCTTCAAAGCCCCCTGATGTATAGAAACTTTATCACGGCGTCCATCTGGGTTGGCGCTTCGTTCTGACCTTCTGAGTGGTGGCAAATTTTTCGTCATCGAAACTAAAAAAAATTGAAAAAAAAAATACAAAAAAACAACAACTGAACAGTGAAGCGAACATTCTCGTTTACCGTTTACTTGCGAAACTGGCAGTGCCCCTAAAATACCTCAGATCTCAGGTTCAGTGCCGCCATTAGTACGGTAAAAGTTAAACTGCCATTTGAGTCACCAGATGGCACTGAATTTCGGAAAGGGTCTATCATACCAATACCACTTAGAAGACAATGCCTGCGCATGACGTTTCGTTAGTATATCCGCGACCCGACCCAAGCGGTACACAGGCTAAAGCTTGACGAGAGTATGGGCCGCGTCGCATTCACTGGCGGCCACAGCTGTGCGCGGGACTGCTGAGCGCGAGCTGATAGCGAGCTTTCAGTTGATTTGCAACCCGCATAAGAACACTTCCGCAGGCAGGAGCGCGAGCTAGCAAGCACTCCTGGTTTTGAGATGTGCATTTCTAGCGCGCGCGCTTGTTCTGCGGAAGGACGCTTCAAAGCAGCGACCTCGAGGCGTTGGCTGCATTCTCTGCTTAAGAGTGAACGGAATATAAACAGCGCCCTCAAAAATGGCTTCCAGTGGCAGCGTCCAGCGAAGGGCTTTGCAGCCCTTCGCGCATCAGTAAGGCATTTTACTCGTGCATTTAACACTCCACATAAACGACTTCATCGTATGGTATAGCAACAGACACTCGGCGTTAGCATCTGTGTCATTATCTGCTACACAAACCACTGACACAGGCGATGGAGCAGCGATGTCGCAGACGATGTAGCAGACGATAGTGCTAATCCGTTCTACCTAGGGAGCGCTGAGGGGATGTGATGACGTTTAGGGGAGGAAAAGCGCAGGCCTTCTGTTTTAGCTAGAAGCGCGAACTGGCCGGCTCTACTATCGTTGAGACGTGCTTTTTTAGTGCGAGAGCTCGTTCTGCAGAACAACGTTTCAAAGCCCCAATCTCGCGGGCTAGCTATACCCCGCTCACCTTTAAGCTGAGAATGGAAGCTCCGCCTGCAGCGCGAGCTTTCTACCTTTGCTAACAGAAATGTGAACGCGCCAGCACGCACAAGAAAAGTACAGCGGAAGCCAGCGAGCTCGCGTTGAGGGCGGAGCTTGAAATCTCCGCTTTAAGGCCTGTTTGCACATTGAAAAGAGCGCTACAAGCATATCGCTGGCCTAGCGCTAAGCCGGTGTTGACAAGAGCCAAATTTGGGGGTTTTACGTGCCAAACCTACGACGAGCATCTGGCACGCTCCAGCGGAGGAGTGAGGATTAATTTGGACCACCTGGGGATCTTTTGACGTGCAACCGAAAGCACGGTTACACGGCGCCTTCTCCGCGATAAGCCTCCGTCATGTTGCGGGCACCTCGGTCGGGATTCGAACCCGCCACCTGGGGATCCGTAGGCCGGCGCTCTCGCCTCGGAGCCACCGAGGCGTCTTGGTGTTGACGGGAGTGTTAACCATCTTTGTATCGCACCGTCAAAGCTGTTGCTCACGGCAGACGATAAGCTGCTGACGACACGTGAGCAGCGCTACATCAGCGCTTCGCTTAGAGTGCCTTCATACACACGCGCGCTAGACATGTAGGCACCCTAGCTTCGCTGCATGAAAGAACCGGCCTTAAGGGGGAATGGAGGATGGCGCTGAAGGGTGAACGGCCCCATATTGAGGCATTTTTGGGCAATCGTGTAAAGAAGTGCCTCTCACTTGAGCTGACGGAACAAAGAGTGTTTTGAGATGTTTTGCTTTGAAGATTGCATCCCTCCTACTGACGTATTTTATTTTTGCTTTTGGCGTGAAGTGTTTGACCAACATCCTTTGTAAGTGTGGTTTAAAGATTTTTATCAGTGTATTACAACGATTTCCGCGAACCAGTTCGGCCATCGGCACTCAAATTTGAATCGTGTCTTCATTTATGCCATGTCAACATTTCGCGAAGACTCCTGTCTACATTGCTTCACCACAGCGGCCATCATGCGGAAACCCCAAAGGGGTTGCACTAACGAGAAAATATATGATGCGTGGGTGGCCGGGGAAAGGGTGGATAACAGACCCGGCATTGTTTCCTAGGTGGTATCGCCCGCACCCGTCATAATTCTATGGTGGATGAGTGATTTTCATAACAAAGACCTGAATGTAAACCTAACTTATACCAACGACTTTTGGCACAACGGGACGTACAAAACAAACATTCCTACAGGGTCACATCATATCTGTTATCTAGAGTTTTTTCAGGCAACCTCTATGCAGTGTTTGAAGTTCCCAGGAAAATTTTGAACGTACCTGCAGCGCAGTCCTGTGCACCTTAACGTCGTCTTCAAGGTCAATGCGATATTGATCCGCCTCAAGCTGAAATTAGTTTAGTAAGCACCTTAACACCACATCCATTGTAAGTTATTTTTCCGAATTAAAGTAGGTTACAAGAGGAAGAAATATTGCAATACTATTCTAGTTAAATGTATTTGGCGGTACCTGACAGTTCTCCAGTTCTTGTATTCGTTTTACCAGCTTTGCTATTTCAATGCTCGCTTCCTCACGTTGAGACGTCTGAAAAAAAATAAAAATAAACACTCATAATTATGTTCACTCACTGATGTATTTCGTTTACCCATTCGCAAATAAATATAATCATGATAAGCTGACCTTACTTCGACGACAATGCGATTTCCGAATAACACCATTAGAAAAAACTATGCGGAATTTCACATTCCTTTATTAACAACACGATTTTACATCGCAATTTTTATCTTAACACCGCGAAGGCACGGAACACGGAAGATAGCATTCTTCGGAAATTTGGCTTAGACTTGCAAAACTCAACTGAAGAAGGTGGCATATAATCATCATAGACAGCATGAAGATGACAAAAGAGAAGGGGGCCTTGAGACAATTCTACTGTCTACGACAATACAGGGTGGGGTAGTGTTAGGACCGAGACGGCTAGGCAATGGGAGCTCGTGAGGCTGCGTGTGTAGACAATAATCACGGCGCGGCAGTCGTCACGATGGTCAAAATTAACTTAAGCCCGCCAAGTTGGATGAAAATTGCTTCCGGCGTTCGTAAACGTTGGCAACGTTCCTATCACGGCGCACCTACCCAAGATGCACCGGTGTCGAAGCTGTCGCGATCTACACCACGTTCCTTATTCGAGCCGTTCGAACCTCTCAGGGGCCGACACTAACCCGTATTCACACTTGTGACATACCCACTACAATTAATCAAATTACTTATAACTGAATATATTTTTGGCTCCTTGTATGTCAAGACTGCTGCCGCTGCGCGTGCAATGTCGACCCTCGTCAACGCTTGGTCATGAGAATCTGCCGGTTCGTTTGACAAGCCGACCGGGCACCGTGAGTGCCGACGAGCGCAATTTACCGACAATGCTTTCTGAATTACGGGGTTTCGACGGAAAAAATTCAGAGGGCACGACGGACGACGGTTTCATTCTGGTCAAAGCCCGGCGACGAGCAAAGCCGTCGTCTCGTCTGCGAAATCGAAAGAGGTGAATGCTGTTTCTCTCCCCGTATACGACGGATTGCTCTATTTTTGTTCAGGCTTGACCCAAACACATCTGTTATTGACATTGTATCCCTGATTGAGCCTTTCCCAGAGTGCGGAACGGTTGTCTGTTCTCAACTAGGTCTCTATCGTACTCGTCGTTCCACTTTACTTGCGACGAGACAGCGTTTGCAGCTCTAAACAAGCCTGAAGTTTGACCCGAGGGCAGTATCTTCCACCATTTTTTCGGACGCCTTGACAATCCGCGTGTTCAAAATGAAAAAATGGTAACACGCGAGAATCACTGGAACGCTTAGTGTCTGCTGCCAAAACCTGAGAGGCGTGCGACCGAAGGCCGACGAGTTCATGCACAACATTGTGACAACCAAAGTTTGATGTTTTTTGCCTGACGGAAACTTGGCTCCGTAATAGGATACCGGACTCCAACTATTCTACATGTAATTACAAAGTGTATTACCGGGGTCGGGATTGCCAGTCTATAGGTAAAATGTTTGGTTGTGGCATTTTAATTGCTACCTAGTCATTTTTTTTTCGTTACATCGTCTTCTTTACTTGGAATCATAATCTCAGATTTTCTGGGTAGAGATTAAGGCAGGTGATGACTTAAATACCTAGCTGGAAACTGCTATTTTCTACCAGTGTCCGATGAAATAAATTATATAGAAAATTTTAGGACAGTTACTAAACAAATAAATGCTTTGAAATACGGAGTAAAGATACATGGAGATTTTAAACATCCAGGAGCGGACTGGCCGCTAAGGTTTGCCGATTGCAACAACCCTATAACATCAAATAAGGCTCTATGGTTACCGTCATTCATGAACGACTGTGACCTTGATCAGCTTAACCCAATTAAAAATTGCCCTGGAAATGTTCTCGACCTTGTTTATCTAACATATCCGTCGATTCTGTGATCACTGTTATAAATCTCTTGGTGTGAATATTTATTTTATTTATTGTACACACCCTCAAGCGCCGAAGCATTGTACAGGGGAGGGGAAAAGCAAGCAAAAATAAAACGAACTGACAAAACAAAACAAAAAAAAACAATCGGCAAGAAATTCAAATATCAAAAACACACTGCCATTGGCAAAAACAGTAAGCAATATCTGTTACGGACAAAATAAACAAAATAAAATGACTCATGTTGGCTCACCAAACAGAAATGTAGACAAAGAGTGGCGAAAAAGAAAATAATCAGGTATAGTTGCGATATCTGCTGGAAGGTGGTTCCAGTCGTTTGATCTATGCGGGACAAATGAATAAAAAAAAGTGTTTGTTTGGCAACGTCTTAATCCAACTTTATTCGGATGGTCCAGACGGGAAGAGTAATAGTTGGGCAATGTTAAGAAATGGTCTCGCACCGACTGATGATGATACACTTTATGAAACAGGCAAAGTCGAAAAAACTTTCTGCGCAATGACAAAGAGGGTAACAACAAACTGGACTTCATTGATGATACGCTAGCTGTTCGATTATAATTAGACAGAATGAAACGAACGGCATTATTTTGGACTAGTTCAAGAGCTTTATGCAGAAAGGCGTGGTTAGGATCCCAAATAGAGGCTGTGTATTCCAATATTGACCGTACAAGAGTGTTATAAAGAAGAAGTTTTAAGTTAAATGGGGCCGTTCTGTAGTTTCGTCGTAGGTATGCTAACATGCGGTTAGCGTTGGCGATTATTATATCAATATGAGGTTTCCAGGTTAATGTCGACGATATAGTAACACCCAGATAACGGTATGAGTTTACAGATTCAAGTTGAATGTCGGTAGTGTATATTCTGAAGGGCGTGCGCCTTGCCGGGAAACGCGCTTTAGTTTGCATTTGTTAGGGTTTAGTTCCCTACGCCATGTTTTGCACCAAAGAGTAATATTATTTAAATCAGATTGCAAAATGCGTACATCATCATCATCATGAACTTCCCGATAAATTACACAGTCATCTGCGTATAAATGCATGGAGGAAGAAACAAAACTTGATAAATCATTAATGAATATTAGGAAAGGAAGCGGGCCTAAAACTGAACCTTGGGGCACGACGGATACAGCATCAGTCAGGTATGAATTAATGCCATTTAGAGTTACATATTGTGAGCGGTTGGTAAGAAAGCATTCCAGCCAGGTTAACAAGTTAGGATCTAGGTTTAATGAAGAAAGTTTAAGCATTAGTAACTTATGGTTAACCTTGTCGAATGCTTTAGAAAAATCGAGAAAAAAATACAGTCAGCCTAAGGGTTTGTCCAGTATAGTATGCAAACAATGGGTGAAATGAAGCAGCTGCGTTTCACAAGAAAATGAGCGACGGAAACCATGTTGAGCAGGGGCGAAACATGAATTGGATTCTAGGTAATTAAAAATATGAGAGTACAGAATGTGATCCATTATTTTACAGGGAATACTTGTTAGTGAAATGGGTCGATAATTTAATGGAGAATGCTTGTTACCAGACTTATGCACTGGAACCACCTTCGCCGTTTTCCATTCTATTGGGAGCGTTCGACACTCAAGAGATTGCTGGAAAATTTTGGCGAAAAAAAAAAGGATGAGTACATTTTAGTCTGTCTTAGAAATTATGAGTTAATATTATCGCTTCCCCATGACGATGATACTTTCAAAGAATCAATTAACTTTACAATTCCAGTAGGCTCCATGGAAATTGGAAACATAGGGCTAAACTCACAACGTGGAACGTCATAAGGTACATTTCCATCAACTACAGAAAAACTATTTGAAAAAACATTATTAAACACTGATGGATATTCTGCTGGAGGGAGTAACGCCCCAGACTCATCGCTAAGAGAAATTAAGCCGTCGTCATTCATATTAACAGTCTTCCAGAACTTTTTGGGGTCATATAACAATAGACTCGGTAAAATGTTCTTAAAAAATTTTTCTTTGACGTCAGATACAGCTTGGGAATATTCGACCTCAGCCGCAAAGTATGCTTCCCACCGATCAATCGTGTTACGTAATTTAGCTGAACGAAATAGTCGCTGTTTTTTATTGGAAAGACGTTTTAGGGTGTTAGTATACCAAGGTGCTTTAGCATCAGATTGAATACGCCTGACGGGTATATGCGCATCAATCAGTTCGTTTACTTTTAAACAAAATGAACTCCAATTTTCCTGCACGCTTCGCTGATTAAATTCTGGCAGATATATGTCCAGATAGCTGCACAGTTTTTGGTTAATAAGATCAAAATTGGCGTTATTGTAGTCAGAAATAAGCTTTACTTTTTTACTATTGATTGGGGGAGCAACTTTGAGATCAAAATTCAACAAGTGATCACTTAAGCCTGGAAGATACGTAAGGTAAGATAGAAGGTCAGGGTGTTTCGACAGAATTAAATCAAGTGTGTTCGCTGTATCATTGGCATACCTTGTTGGTTTCTTTACCAGCTGTGTCAAATTAAAACACGCACACAGATAAAAAAAAAGTTGGCTCTGAGTTTAAACACGTTGAAAAGAAGGTGGATCAGACCACATAATATCAGGAAAATTAAAATCTCCTAATAAAAAAATAGGAGAACTGGGATACTGACAAAGAATAGAATTCATAACGTCATGTAAATCATCAATAAATGTTACTGCACTGTTTGGGGGGCGGTAGCAGACACCCAATAAAAGTCTTGTGTTATTTAAAGTGATACAAGCCCAAACGATTTCTAGATCGGAAGCAACATCTACGCAAAATGAAGGTATGCTCTGTGATACGGCTATGAGTGTGCCACCCCCATGTCTACCGTCTCTGTCAAAACGATATACATTATATATTTTATCTCCTTGGAAAATTTCAGAGCTGCAGACATGTTTACTAAGCCAGGTTTCCGTAAGAAAGATTAGGTCTGCGTTCGTCGAGCTGACTACAGAGTTAACACTTAGAAGAATAGATAGTTGGGCGAGTTGGTGGGAATTCATCTTGGAACACAGCGCGAACAACAGACGTGGACGAAGGAGAAGCACACAGGACGAGCGCTGAGTATTGTTCGAGGCGGGGTTTAGGCCGCACGTCCGGAGGTTTC